ACTGTGGGTGTACTGGGGGTCACACCCAGCAGGCCTGGCAGGGCCAGGTTCCGCAGGTGACGGGGACCTTGTGGGTGGCCTTGGCCCCGTGAGCCCCAGTGTTCTCAGCCAGCCCACAGGGTATTTTGCAGGGGGGGCCGTGCGGGAACTCTGCGGTCGGGAGGGGCTCCGGTGCCATCCCCAACCTGGCCTGCCCCTGCAGAGTGACAGTGGCTGCCCCGGTCTTTACACCAAGCGGGGTCCTGTCTCACCTTGCTGGGGAACTGGCCTGACCTGGCTTGGTCCTGCCCTGCCCTGGAATGATGTGTGTGTGTGTGCCCGGGGCCGGGGGCGGGGAGCTGGGCCTCTCAGCACCGCGTAGCTCACGGATTGTTTTCAGAGTGCAGTTTAAAGCTCCAAAGTAGGGATCCCTGGGTGGCGCAGTGGTTTGGCGCCTGCCTTTGGCCCAGGGCGCGATCCTGGAGACCCAGGATCGAGTCCCACATCGGGCTCCCGGTGCATGGAGCCTGCTTCTCCCTCTACCTGTGTCTCTGCCTCTCTCTCTCTCTCTGTGACTGTCATAAAAAAAAAAAAAAATTAAAGCTCCAAAGTAAACTTTTCAGCAACTCCAGCGTTTGCTTAGTGATTTGAAGCACTTCTGGCAACTTTTTGGGGATGTGGGATTCGGGCCACCTGCAACAGCCACAGAGGAGGAAGGTTCTGCATTCCCCACCTCGGAGCGCAGCAGCCACTGAGGACCTCTCCAAGGCTTCTTCAACCAGCAGGAGCCCAGGGACAGGTCCCTGGTGAGGTCTTCACAAGGAACAGGTGTTCCCTGAAAACAGACACAGGAGACCAGGGGTGCACAAGCTCTGCCAGCGCCGGGACTGCTTCCTTTTGGGGGTGGGAATGCCCAAGAGGGGGAGGGCATGGGCTCATCCCCAGCGAGCACTGGCTTTGCCCTGTGCTGGCCAATGTGCTCAGCTGGGGAGAAGACCCTGTGCTGGGGCTCAGGGCAGGTGCCCCGAGGTACACCCAACCCTCCTGAGCACAGGTGAGGGTTATGAGTGGGGAGAGCAGGCCCCTTGGACCTGGTGGCAACTGCCCTAGCCCCAGCTTGCCCACCCAGGGCACGACACAATCAGCATTTGCAGTCCAGGCTATACGCCCATGTGACCTGGCATTTGGCCCCGTCAGCCATGGGCTGCTGTGAGGTAGATGGTGGGCTCAGGTGGGACCCGAGGTAGGAGCCAAGCAGGGCTGAGGGCCTTGGGAGTGAGGAGTCTGGGCCAGAAGCCCCCTCCTGCTGTCTGGCCTGTCCAGTGGCTCCCTCTCCCGTCCCATCTGGGGCGGGAAGTATCCATTCCTAGTTACCCCCCAGCCCCCACCAGCTGTGCTCTGGGTGGCTTCCTTTCTCCTTACTCGGGACTTCATGTCCCCTACAGTTGGCCCCAAAAGAAGTAGGGAACACCGGGCCCAGCTCAGGAGCCACTCCAGAGGGCTCAGTCCCTCCCAAAGTTCAGCACAAAGACCGCCATCATCTAGGGTGCCTCCACCTGTTCCCAGTGGTTGCTCCGAGCCCGTGGGTCCTAACCATCACTAGCTGCAGTGCTCACAGGTGGGACCCGCAGCCCACCCCACCCGCAGTCACCCGGGGTCAGGATGAACACCATGACTTGGACATCTCTCTGCCCTAGTTTTGAGGCTGCAGGAACACAGCAGGGCCTACACACCTACCTGGGAAGTGGAGGGACCTACAAAACTCCTCTGGGCAAAGCTCCTTGGTCCCAGCCAACCAGGAGTCTGGGGACCCGCCCCCACAAGCTCGCAGTAAACCTCAGTAAACCTGATAGGCAGGTCTGGCACGTCCTTGAGTCCTCACATCTAGGAGCCACCCCAATGGGCTGGCTCCTGGAGTAGGCCAGAGGTGGGGAAGCAGACTGGAGAGGGTCCACACAGACGCCCAGGCCGGGCTGAGGCTGCTGTAAGGCCCACACTGTCCAACTTCCAACCCAGGCTTGGGCGGCCAAGGAGAGCCCCTGGGGATGGATAGGCACAGCAGCTGAAATCTGAGGCCCTACAAGACCCAGCTTTGGACCCCACTGACCAGTGGTCCTTGAGAGACTTCCTTCTCAAGAGCCTTGGCTGTGGCCAGCCCCAGATAGTTTGGGGGACTCCCTGTGACCCTGGCTGGTCTCAAGTGTTGGCCCCACAGACTCTGTCCAGTGCAGCCTCAGGACACACTCAAGCCATTTGGGGCAATTTATTGAGGTTTTAAGGTTGGGGGAGGGGAGGCAGCACACCTGTGCGTGTGCACGGGCATGGTGAAGGGTCCCCCCACAACGTGAGCACACATCCACGGGTGGAGCAGTGTCTACACATCTCCCACCCCCAGGAAGGAGCCACAGCCCTTGAGGCGTAACGAATTCTGAACGTTCCCCCTTCTCCAGGGGGCTTGGTGGGCTTGGCAAGGGCCAGGGCAGACGTCCTCAGCCTCCCCCCTGCTCCCCACAGCGGAAACCCCAGGCTCGGGGGCATTCTGTCTCAGGCCCAGGGTGCCAGGGCACCCCACTGCACGGAGAATGAGTCCTCTGGGGCCGCCCACTCTCTTGTCCGGGCCAGGCTGGCCTTGTCCTCGCTTGTGTCATGGGAGCCCGGGGTGGGGCTGGCAGTGGACGTCCGTTCCGGGGCAGGAGCCGCTACCTCCAGGAGTTCTCCCTCATTGGGGCAACTGTGGGAAGGACATAGGCTGAGGGGCCTGGGGAGGCCCCAGGAAGACCTTGTCCCGCCAGAAGAGGGGAAGGCAGACGTACTCTCTGGGCTCAGGCTGGACACTAGAGCGGGATTCTGGGCGGTTCTCGCGAGGGGCTCTTCTCTGGCCGGAGGCAGAAGGTCCTATGGGGACAGTAGGTCAGCTTGGAGCTCGGCTGGGCCTCCCCCCAACCAGCCTCCCTCCAGGACCACTCTGACCTGTGTGCTGGGGGGGCCCCTGTCTGGCCGCGGGGGTGGTGGCAGCGCAGCCCCCGTCTGCTGGATGAACTGCTGCAGGTTACACTGACGGAGCTCCCGGTTCAGCTCCTCGAGTTCCTGGGCTTGGGCCTGGGGCACATGGATCCTCAGGGGACCGACCTTGAGCCCAACCCCAACGTGGGCAGGGGCTCGGGGGCCCGTGGGCTTACCTGCAGGGCATGCTCGGCGGCCTCCAGGGCCCTGCTCACCAGGGCCAGGCTGCCTTGCACCTCCGCACTCTGCCGCTCTTGGGCAGCCAGGTCCTGGCGCAGGCGTTCGGTGGCTGACGCTGTGGGCGAGGGCGGCCCAGGGGCCTCCGAGGCCAGATGCAGTTCAGCCTCCAGGGCACGGGCCTGGGCATCCAGGGCCTGCAGCCGGGCGGCATGCTCGGCTGTGGCGGCGCTCAGGGCTTGCAGGCGCGCCTGCCCCTCACGCTCCCGCGCCTGCTCCCGCCGCAGCTCCTGCTCCCAGAAGGCCTCCTGACCCAGCTCCACCGCGTTCCTCCGCACCCTGCGCTCCAGGCCCTGCAGGTCCGCGCAGGACCCTGGCATTGGTGCTACGGGGGCCACAGGCTCCGGCAGCGCGGGGCTGGTCAGCCCAGGGCACCCGAGGCCGAGGGTCAGTGCCTTGCGCTGCTCATGGCCCAGCGCCGGCCGGGACTTCGAGGGGAGGCTGGCACGGACTGAGCAGCGCTCGGGAGGGGGGCAGCTGTCTGAGGAGGGCCTCCCAGCGAGGCTGGGCCCTGTCCGCCTCAGGACAAACTGGACATCACTGGCAAACTGTCCACAGGTAGCCTGGGCACCCACGGGACACTCCTGAGGCAGCAGCTGCCGCTCCTTTTCTCTGAGACGCTGCACAAGCACAAAGCGGCCCGTCTGGCCTGGGGTAGGAGGACACGGGTCAGCCTACGTCCCTCCCCCGACCACACACACCCTCCGTCACCTGGCTTGAGGAGTTGGGGGAGGGCAGGGGGATCAGCAGCCAGCCCTACCCCCCCCGGGGGGCAGGGGCCGGGTCCAGGCCCACCTCAGGCCCACCTGTCGGCCCACCGTGCCTGGAAGGACTCACCTATGGCTTGCGCTAGTGCGATGACCACTTCCTGACAGGTGGTGTGCTCCGAGACCCCACAGACCACGCGCTGTATGCCGTCCACCCACACCTTCAGCTCCATGGCTGCCAGCCCCAAGAGCATCCCTGTCCGGCAGGGAGGACAGAGGCTTCAGGGTCAGGCCCCGCCTGCCCCCAGCTCGTCCGGCTGGCTCTCCCGTGCCCGTTGTCGGGGTGGACGTAGTGAGACCAGCCCCCCCGGCCGCCAGCCACTGCCCCTCCAGGAGCACTTGGAGGCTCCCCGCTCCGCAGCCGGTTCTCGCCCCGCCCCACTCCCGGAACAAGGCGAACCATTAACCAGGTCCAGGACTTCCTGCCTCCCCGCTCACCTGGCTCCGAGGGCACTGCCCCTCCCGCGGGACGCCGTCCTCGGGCACCGCAGGGCGACCGCAGCGAACGCGGCTCCCCGCTGCCATGGGAACGCCCCCTCCCCCGCGGCTCACGCGGCGGCGCCCGGGGCCCCTTCCCGCTCCCGCCAGCCGCCGCGCTCGCCCCCGGGCCGCTGCAGGTGCGGCGCAGCCCCCACGGCCGCCCAGCCCGCGCCCTCCCGTCGGGGCTGCCTCCCGAGGCCGCGGCCCGCACGCGGGAGGACCTGGGGCCCGCGCGGCTCACCTGGGCGCCCGCCGGCCGCGGGGACCCACACTCCGCGGGCTGCCGCCCGGCGCCCAGCGCCGCCGCAACCTGCCGCCTCCAGCGCCGCGGGCGAGCCCCGGCTCGCCACTCCATTGGCCTGCAGCCCGAGCGCCCCGCCCCGCGCCGCCCCATTGGCTCCCGCCGCCGCCCCGCCCGCCCTGCGCCGGCGCCCATTGGCTCCCCCGCCTGCGCCCCGCCCCTCCCATTGACTCCCCGCCCGCCCCGCCCCCGGCGGCGCCCAGGTGTGGGCGGAGCTCGGCGGGGCGGAGGGGCGGGCCGAGCCTGGTCCACGCACGCCCCAGGACCGCGAAGCACGCGGAAGCGCGTCCCCGGCCCGCGGCGGCGCGTGGGACAGGTGTCCCGGGCCGCCTCCCTCGGAAGCCTCCGGCCCGATGAGTCTCTTGCCCAGGGAGGGGCTCCGGCGTGGACCCCGCAGCCTCTGCGCCCGGAGGGGCCGCCGGGGGCCCAGGGCCGGGGGCCCACCGCCCCGCCTCCATCGGGGCGGGTGCGGGGGGCCGCGCGGGTGGGGGAGCGGTGAGCCCCGCGGGAGGCTGGCGCGCGCTGGCCTCTCCGGCTGCAGCCCTGCCGACCGCCCTGCTGGGGAGAACGCCGCCCTCAAGGGCCGGGCTGGCCAGACAAAGACCCTGAGCTCCCCGCCTTCCTGCCCGCAGCCCCTGGAGACGGGCACACCCGCACCCCGTGCCCTGGGGAGGCCGAGCCCAGGACACCTCAGTGCTGTCCAGGACCAGGCCTTCCGAGACTGCTCCGCTCCCGCATGCTGGGCCCGGGGGTCCTCCTGCCCACCTGCTCCCCAGCACAGGAAGTCCTACAGAAAAGCCGGGGTGAATGAGCGCGGGGCGGGGTGAGGCTGGAAGGCGTCGGTCTGTGTCAGGTCTGCCGCCTCATTTCTGTTCTGGGCAGAGGTAACTGTTGTCGTGGTTCTGAGAGTCCCCAAAACTCCCCGAGGTGGTGGAGATGGACTGGGGACGGGGAGGCTCCTGGCTTGGGGGTTACGTAGGTGGGCTTCGGCCTCTGAGTGCCGAGAGGCTGTGGGAAGCACTCAGGAGGGGGCTCGCAGCAGGTGAGGGCCTGGCAAGCTCCCATACACGGGGCAGCAATGCCCCCGATGACCGCTGCTGCCATAGTCAGGCTGTGGGAGCCTCCCCAAGGCTGGCACACTGTGTGTGACTATGCAGGCCTTGCTGGTCACTCTGGGCCCCTGGGGCCTGCTAAGGCCAGCTGGGCAACAACCCCGCCTCTCAGAGTTTCTCCTTCAGGCTGGGTCAGGAGGTGGGTCCAGGTCCCAGGGCCCTGCTCTGGGGTCTCCCTGGAAGCTCCTGGTAACAAACAGCCCCTCCCCTTCTAGGTGCTGGTATCCATGGCAACACTATAGAGCCTTTCTTTCCCTAGGTCTGTTTGGACTTCAGGCCTCAGGTGAGTGTTGGGGGTAAGGCCTGGGCCTGGGGGCATCACAGGCAAAGGACCAGGACCTCGGGTCCTAGAAGGCAAGGATGATAGGGGGAGGACAACAGGAAATGTGCAAACGCCCAGGTGACACATTGCGGGGGGCGAAGGGGTGACCTGCTGCCTTGTCCTGGTCAGAAATACACAGACACGGGCGTACACATGACCAGCAGTCCAGTGTCCCGTGGGGTGCGTGTGCACACCTGCATACACGTGCCTCTTTGAAATGGTGCTGTCTGGGGCGGTCAGACGTGGGCACACACTCGCAGCCACATAGGAGAGCCCCACAGGGGTATCCACACATGGGACACGAGGACGACAGCCACACCATCCTCTCAGCTCTCCCAGGAACATCGGGAATGGACCCTCAGTCTTGCCAAGAGGCTGAAGAAGCCAAGAAAGAGGCCCCCTTATCCCTTGTGGGCCAAGCACTGGTCAATGGCCCCCGGGAGCCTCCGGCTGGCACACTCCAAGACCCAGTGGCTCCCAAGTGCCCACAGGACACGAAGCCCAGCTCTTCACGGGTGGTCTTCTCCACCAACCTGCAGTAAGGGAGGGAGGGAGGGGTGGTCAGCCACGGGGGTCTGGTCAGCCAGAGGGCAGGGCCTGATCACTGGCATTGCAGGTTGGCCCCTGAGTCCCTGGACCCTCGCGCCCTGCGGCTGCTGTGGGGTCAACGGGAACTAGAGATCCAGGCTCTGAGGTGGGCCATCCAGAACCGCCCGGATGCCCGGCACTGCCATGTCCTGCAGGAGGTGGCTGGGATCCCACCTGAGAGGTGCGCAGCAGAGTGCTTGGCCCGAGCTCCTGGTTTTCGCCTGACCCTATCCCAATTTATCCCAACCCCTGGGCCTGACCAGCACTCCAATTTAATTCTTATCCTGACCGTACCTCTAGCCTTAACCCTCACCTGGACCCTCACCCCCCACCCTAACCCTGAAAAAGCGAATATGCTCTGAATGTACTCAGACCCTAACTCTGAATACATTTACAGCCACTGGACCTAGACCCCCACCTACAAGCCAGACCTCCCAGAGCTGGACTTGGCCTGGCTCAGTGGAACTCTGGGCCCTTGGGCCCCCAATGTCAGTTAAGGGGAGCCCCTCCTTCCCCCCTCCTTGGCTGCTGACCTCAAGGTGGGAGCTGCTGAGATCGCCCCTTCCCCCAGGGGTGCACGCAATCAGGAAAGGTTCCTGCAGAACAAGGTTCAGAAGCTGACTCTGGAGTTGAAAAAGCAGAAGGAACAGGCCCAGCTGGTGAGGGGCAGGTGGGATCAGGGAGTTGGGCAGGGGACCCAAGCTGGGGTGAGGATCAGGGCCCAAGCAAGGGCTGGCCATGGGGGTCGGTGCCTGGAGAAGACTGTGCACACCTCTGCGCTCTCCTGGAGCAGGAGAAGTCCCAGCTGGAGGAAAGTGTGCTGCAGACCACCACCAACATACAGCAGCTGGAGGCTGAGCTGCAGGCCTTCCAGAAGTCCTGCCTCCTGCAGCTGGCCCGCTCCTCCTGGGTAGGTCGCATACTGCGATCTTCCACAGGCAGTGTGGAGGTAAGCTCCCCTCAGCCCACCGCCCTGCCTCCCGCGTCCCCTCCCCAGTCCTCGGACGTCCCCTGGACAGCCAGGGTCTCCCCTCCAGGTGAGTTAGCCCTGGCCTGCCTGGGAAGCCTGCCCCCCCCAGCCCCGCCCCACCCCCAGGGCTGTGGGGAGGAACACCCGGCAAGTGTGGCCTCAGGCTTGCCTCAGGAGCGGTGAGGTCAGAGGGGAGAGGCTCCTTCCCATGGTGCCTGCCCACTGGCCTCCACTCCCCTCTGGTAGGTGGTAACCGCAGAAACCCTGCTGGAACTCAGCGACCTCCCTGAGAGCGACCAGGGCCCCTCTGCCAGGGAGGTGAGCAAGGCTCCCCACGAGCTTTCACAGCTGGAGCCCCGTGGGAGGCGAGGGCCACATGCCTGTTGCTTCCTGGCCAGGGTTTCCGGCTGGAGGATGTGGACTGGAACAGCATTGCCCAGCGGTATCCTAACCTCTTCACCAACATTGAGTGCAGCTCAGACCAAAAGTAACTGTGCCAGTCAGGCAGTCCTCCAGGGGCACGGGGAGGGCGGACCCCAAGGTCTACCCCAGGTGTCCTGGCACAAGTCCCCTACGCCTTCCAGGGCAGCTCTCCCACCTGCAGGGCGAGGTTCATGGTGAAGGGAAAGGGCTCCCGAGCCCTCACAGTCCATCCCGGAGGCTCTTCCCCAGGCCGGGCCCCTGGCTGCCCCACCCACCTTGGGGGGGCTAGAAGCCCCAGGCAGCAAGCAGATCAGCCGACTGTGGCCCACAGGCACCCACGGCCCCTGTCACCCCCAGAGGCCTCACTGTCGGGTGAGTGGGGCTCGGAGCTACGTAGACGACACATGGAACAGCGTCTCAAGAGTGTTGAGTGGAGTACCCTGCCCTTGGTGGGTACTAGCAGCTCAGGGGGCACGGACTCTGGCTCCAGCAGTGGCCAGCTGGCTGCGCGATGCCGAGTGCGGAAGGTGACAGGACGCCCACCTCGCTCGCCGGGCTGCAAGTCTTCTGAGCCCACCGAGGCCCACTCGAGGAGCTTCAGCCGGGACATGCAGACACAGACTGAAGGTGGAGTGGGTCTCCCCCATGACCCCCCTCCCCCCCCACAGGGCCATAATCTCGGCCCAAAGCCCTACACAGCGTCCCCCAACAGCTTGACCTTCACAGCAGCCCAGGGCGAGGCTGCTGGGGCCTCTCCGGTCTCACTCCTGGGGCCAGGGGGGTCTCGGGTGATGCTTGCTGCTGCGGAGGCACCCTCATGGGAGTACCACCCCCTGCCCCCGGTTCTTGGAGTTATCCCCCTGCTTCCCTCAGCCTCCAGGGTCCCGCCATCCCTCCTGCTCTGGATCGGACCCCCGGAGCTGTTCTCCCCAGTCCACCCTCAGCGTGCTGCAGGTCAGTCTGGCCTTGCATGACATGTCCCCAGTGGATGCTCCATTTGGAGGTGCCCCTTCCAACAGGTCTCCTTTCCCCGGATCTCCGGAAAGCCCATCAGGACCAGCCTGGCAAGACTGTCCTGACGGGGGAGCCCTGTGCAGGTCCAGAGCACGGGCCTCCCAGGCACCGCTGGAGGTGAGGGGGTGACCCCGCAAGGCCACAGCAGGAGGGGGTCTGCTACCGGGGGCGGCGGGGGTAGAGTGCCCGAGCCTGTCTGCAGTGCCCCTACCCTCCCTGCTCCCTGCCCAGCCCGACGGGTTCCTGCCTGAAGATCATGGCTGTTAGCCGCCGGGACAGGTTTGTACGTGTCCTTAACCAGTCGCTGGAGGAGACCGTGGACCTGAGTGGCCTCATGCTGCAGCAGCTCGTGCAAAACTTCCCTGTGTGCATGTACCGCTTCCCGGCGGGCACGCTGCTGGCGCCTTGGCACCACCTCACGGTGCGCCCCACTGCCTGCGAGCCCTCGTGGCACCGCTGGGACCCCCCCACTCCTAACCCTGCCACCCCCCTGCCGCGTGCACCAGGTTTGGGGCGAGGGGCCCCGCAGCACGAAGAAGCAGTTGCCTTCATCCTTGGGATTCCACTTCAACCGAGGATGCGTGACTCTCCTTCTGAACCCCAAGGGCGAGGTGAGTGTGCATCTCAGTCGGGGGCGGGGTGGGGGCGAGCCCCGCGGCGTGGGGGTGACCTTCGTGCCCCTCCCGGCTGCCCCACAGGTCCTGAGCAAGTATCAGGCCCCCCACGGCGTGTCCCGCGGCTCAAGGATCTTCGTGGACAACGCCGACTTGTCCATTGACCGCTTCCCGCTCCCAGAGGCCGGGCGCGCCGCCGCCACCTTGGAGCAGATGCCCGGGACCCAGCACTCGCACGCAGGCAGGGCGCGGGAGCCCCGGGCCAGACGGCGTAGGCCCCAGTGAGCACCTCCCAGCCTCCCCCCTGCAAAAACGGCCTCCGCAGAGTCCCTGCGAAGGACTACTCCCCAGCCCCAGCCCCGGTCCCCTTGGGGCCGCCCCCCACCCCGTAACTCAAGACCACCTCCAGGCCTCCGCCCTGCCCCCCAGGCCCCTTCCGTCCAGGACCGCCCTTCCCGCGGGGGGCGGGCTCCGCGTGTCACGACGCCCTCGCCCCACCGGGACGCGGGGCCCCTTCCCGCGGCAGAGCGCCAGCAAGCTCTTCCGCCCGCCCGAGGCCACCGGGACCCGCGCGCCGGAGCGCCTGCCCGCCATCCCCGGTGAGGACGCGGACGTGGAGGGCGGGCGGCGGCAGGGAGGGGGAGGGGGAGGCCGGTCGACCCCATTGGTCACTGGCCCTCGCAGAGGCCGGGCTGTGCCTCGAGGACCGCCAAGCCAGAACGGAGCCCAGGGTCCTGGTGAGTGCGCGCGTGCGCGGGCTGTGCCCGGCGCCCCGCCCCCTCCGCGCCCCTCCACGCGCCCCCCCCGCACTCCGAACCCCCACGCCCTCCTCTGCCCCGCCCCCCTGCGCCTCGCCCCTATACGCCCTTCCTGGCCCCGCCCCGCCCCGGCCCCGCCCCACCATGGCCCCGCCCCCACGCTCCCTCTACCACGCCCCTCCTGGCCACTCCCCGCCCCCACGCTCCCTCTGCCCCGCCCCTCCTGGCCCCACGCCTTCCTGACCACGCCCTTCACGTGCCCCGCCCCCTCCTGACCACGCCCCATCCACGCCCCGCCCCCCCAGCGCCCGCAGGTGTGCAGGAAGACCGTGGACCGGAGCTGCCCGATGGTAGCGCTCTCGGTGCAGAGCACGGCTGAAAGCAGATTCGGCTTCCGCTTCCTGCCCTGCCCGCCGGTTGCCGCGGGCCCTAACGTACGGGTGTAGCGGGTGCGAGGGGTGCGGGGGGTGTGGGGTGCGGAGGTTGGGTGCCCGGACCGAGGGGCGGCGCTGGGAGAGTCGTGGGAGGCAGGCCGTGCCAGCTGCATCATATATTGACCAACGTCACCAACGAAGTAAACCGCATTTATGTACACCGGAGTCAAAAAGGATTCGCTTGGTTTTGGGGTCCCTCGCCCCAAGGGAAGGGAGCTGGCCGCCCGTCCCGCGTGGGCGAGAAGCCGCACTGGTGCCCGGGGATGGGAGGCCTGGCTGCACACTGGCCTCCGGAGGGCCTGCCGGCGCGCTGCTGGCCTCCCCCCCCCCCCCCCCCCCCCCCCCCCCCCCCCCCCGGCGTAGGCCCAGCCTGTCTTCTAGGCCTGCCCCTGCCCCTTCCTCCTGGGAAGCCAGGCCCCGTGGGAGGAGTGGGCAGCTGACTCGCTCAGCCTGGCCTCTTTCTTGTGCCCGACTCCCCTCCACCAAGAAGGGTCTCTCCTGTGTCAAGCCATTACCCGGCCCCACACACTCCCCAAGATGCCCCGGACTCCCTGATGTCAGAGTTCACATGGTCCCGGGCAGCTTGGCAGTGGGGGGGTGGGGGCTACACTAGGGGGGGGCCTGGGCTGGGGTGATAGGGTTCAGGTGCGGCATGCACCGCAGGCCGGGGACTCTGACTGCTGGATCTGGTGCTGCCTTTGGGCCTGGACATCCCTGGGCTCGAGGGCTTGGGCCTGAGGTCACCTCCAGGGCTCTCAGAGCCGTCCCTGCAGCCAGCCCCTGCCCCAGGCCAGCTCCCTGGCCCAGGCCAGGCCCTAAGCTGCACAGAGCTCTGAGCCTGCGCCTCTGGAACTGCAGGCCTGTGGCCCCCCAGGAGCTGTGGCTGGAATCAGAAGGCATCTTGGGGGGACAGGGGATCAGGTTACAGCCCAAGGTCCTGGAAGGCTCTGGAAAACAAAGATAGCCTGTCAGAGGAGGGGCCCCAGAGGGTGGGGGTCACCACAGGCAAGGTGGCAGTGCCCACTGTGGCCCCTCCCCCAGCCCTTCGCTGCCCCCACCCCAAGGCAGCAGCCCTCTCTTGCACTTCCTGGGTTCCCCTGGGAAGTGTGGCTCCATAGCCCCATGACTTCGGGCTGCTGCTGGGGCCAGACCCACCTCTGGCCTGGGCTCTGGCTCTGGGTCACTGGGTCCCATCACCAAGGGTGGCCCTGGGCCAGGTCCTAAACCTCTGGGTAGAGTGAGCCCCTGGCACCCCCGTCAGGGCAAACCGGACGTCTCACCTGGCCCTGGCCTGGGGTGGGAGGCTCCGGTACCCCTTGTTTTCTGAGTCCCCACTGTCTGTCACCGCTCCACCCTGCTGCCCTGCCTGTTCTCCCCCCACCCCCCAGGGCCCCCCTCCAGCCCCTCCCCACACCGGCCAGCGCAGGGAAGGCCAGAGGCTTTGCCTGCCGTGCCCCTGTTCCCTCCTGGCCCTTTTACTCCCCAGCCACAGGAGGGCCACTCAGCCCACCTTTAAGCCTGTGCACCTGCCGCCCCTGCTTATGGCGCCCCTTCCCAGGCTTGCCCACTTGGTTCTACCAGTCGATTCAGACCCTTCCTCCAGGAAGCATCCCTGGGCTCTGCTGGGTGAGGGGTCTTCCACTCAGCCGTGGTCACTCTGCAGCCGGTGTCCTGAGCCAAGCACAGGCCTCTGTGCAGAGTAAGCGTAGCCGCCTCCCTGCCTCGGTCTCCTGGCCTGTCTGGTGCCCTCTCCCCTCTGTGGGCCTGTGCCCTGCTCCCTGCCCAGTGGGCCTGCCCTCTGTTTTGGTCCAGACTCCCTGCTCACACCCCTCTGTCCAGCTGCTGTGGCCTTTGATCCCATGGGCTCAGGGATTGGAACCCTTTGCCTGCAAGCACCCCCCCGCCCCAGGAGAGGACCTCCCTGTTCCAGCCCCTTGCCGAGTCCAGCTGAGGACGGGGCCCCAGCTGATGAATGCTGGTCTGGGGCCATGTGTGGGATCATTCTCAATACCTGGGGCCAGGCATGGGGGGCCGGAGGGAGTCTTGGGCCTAGACTTGTCCTCTTGCTCTTCAGGGCTCCTCCGTGGGCCCCCGGGGGCCGTGGCACCTTCCTGCTGGGACTCCAGGGACCTACCAGAGAGGGGGCTAGAGGGGAGAGAGAGCTGCCGCCCTGCCCTTAGAGCTAATCCCAAATGAGTGTCCCCCGCCCTGGGACGATCCCCCGGCCTCAGGCCCCCACAGCCAGCTCCTCCAGCCAACCTGGGTACCAAGGCAGCCCCCAGCCATGACCTCCCAGCAGCCAGGACATGCACCCACTGCAGGCGTAGCTCCCTGTGGGCCGGAAGCCTAGCCAAGGCCAGGAGGTCACCGCAGCTGTCTGTCCGGTCAGGCCCTGGGATAGAGGCACTGGCAGCCGGGTCCTCCAGCCTGTGTGGGGGCAGCGGCTCCGGTGCTGCCCAGGCCTGGGGAGACAGAGGGCTGGTTTGGGGGCACAGTCTTCAAGGGGGCCGGGTGGGGGGTACCCTGCAGATGGAAGGATGTCTCTGGCTGTGGGAGAGCAGGGGCGTGTGGCCAGCAGTGCCTGCAGGCAAGGTACCGCCAGGCCAGGACGCTGGGCCCCTGGGGTAGCACTGCAGTCCTGACCCACTTGCAGGTGGCAGGGCGTACCTGGCACTGGTGTCGGCGCTCCCGCAGGCCTTTGGTGGGGTTCCCGCAGAGGACCCGGCCAGCACCTACGGACGAGGGTGTGGCTGGGTCTGGTTTGGCATTGAGGGGCTGCAGGGTCAGCTTTGTGCCAAGGGTGGTGAGTTACCGTGGGTGAGGTTGCTGCTGTCATCCTCTGGAGCTGGGTCCCTGGGAAGCAGGCTTTCAGGCAGGGGACGCCCAGGGACCAGTAGGGAGAGGGGCCATGGCCTGGGGGCCCGAGGCTGGGTGTCGGGCAAGGACAGCTCGGAGCTGAGTCTCTGAATGTTGGCTCCGTGGGGATGATCTGTCCGGGGGTCAAAATCAGAGGTCACGGAAACCCCCTTGAACTGGCCCACCCAAGAACCACCCCACCCGCTGCCAAGACTGTCCACAGACAGGGAGCCCTGCCACCCAACATCTGTGTGTCTGCAGGCCCACGCCCCCCAGGTGCTGCTCACGGGGAGGTTATCCCGGGCTCTAGGAGCCCAAGGGTAAGGCCCGGAAGGGGCAGGAAATGTGGCCGTCCATCTTGCAAGGCCTGGGAGAGCCGGGGTACAGAGCTCTCTCCCTGGGGGTGGTGGGGGTGCCCCCTCTTCTGGGGCTCCGTCGGTAAGGTCTCCAGGCTGGGGGGGCGGCCCCTGCCAGAGGGCGGGTGGATGGCTGGCATACCCAGCCCAGGGAGCAGACCATCGAAGACACCGGCCTCCTTGATGGCCTCCTTCACCATGAGCCAGTCCTGGTCCAGCTTCTGGGAGGCCGGCAGGCCAGTGTGTGCGGCCGGCACCTCATCCAGGACCTGCAGCTGGGGGATAAGCTTCCTCACCTCTGCCCGATAGTTGTAGCCCCGGGGCACCTGCAGGGTGGACAGGTGGGGTAGGCCTGGGTCCGGGGGGCCTTCAGGCCAGCTTTGTCCTGTGGCTGCTTTCCCCAGACCTCCGTGGGGCGAGGCCGGGGAGCAAGGGTTGGTGATGCTGCCCCACCCTCCCAGGGCTGGCCTGGGTCACTCTTGGCTCCCAGGGGGACTGTGGGGACCCTGCGCTCTCCCCCAGTGTGATCTCACTCTCTGGCTCACAGCCAGGGTTCAGGGGTTGGGCAGCTTTGTGCGCTGGCACAATCCAGCTGAGGCCAGGAGGGTAGCAAGTGTGAGCTCCAGGTGTGCACGGGCCCAGGAGGAAGGAGTGCATTTCCACATAGAGCACACGGGCGCGTGTGGGGGACGGTGGGGCCATTGGACTGGGCCTGTACGGGGGTGGGTGTGTGATTCTCTGCGCAGACATGCATGGCTTCATGTGTCACGTGCATGCACTTCATGGGGGTGCCGTATGGGCTGGGGGGCATGGCGGGTGTGTGCGGTGCCCTGCGGGGCCCTGTGGGGTCTGGTCCTGGCCCAGAAGTTCTCCAGCGAAAGGAGAGAACGAGCTGATGGTGAACAAGTCACAGGGTGCGGGTGGGCAGAGAGGCCCCCGGGGCCGTGTGGGGGGGCACGCAGGGTGCCTCCCGGTCCTGTGCATGTGCTGCTGGGGTACCCGGCACACGCACCTTGCTGGAAGGGCTGGGCCCTGGCCGCAGGCACACCAAGTTGCCTTCCAGAGTGAGTGTGGCCAGCCGCGGGCATAGCTGCAGGTAGCGCACCTGTCCCAGGTCGTCCACGCTGTTGCCTTCCAGGTCTAGCACCTCCAGCTCCTCGAGCAGGCACAGCGGGCTCAGGTCTGAGATGTTGTTGTAGGAGACGTAGAGCTCCTGGGGCGGCAGTGGGCTCAGCCAGGGCAGGGCCTGGCACCGTCTCCCCAGCCCGGGGCACCCCACACCCACCTTCAGGGCCAGAAAGGAGCCAACGCCGTCCAGGTCAGTCAGGCCACAGCGAGCCAGCCACAGCACCTGCAGGCGGCCCAGGGAGGTGCCCAGGTCTCTACAGAGGGCAGGTCAGCTGGTCAGCACCATCCTGGGCTGGAGGCCACGCCTGTCCGTGAAGGCCCCGACCCTCCGCGCCCATCCACCCCCCACGCGTGGCCCTGTCCACCTGCAGGGTGCCAGTGACCCGTGGCTGTGGGAGGCCGCCTGCAGGCTTAGCGGCCCCAGAGCCGCTGCCCCCCTGCCTTCCCTCCTTGCCGCAGCGGGGAGGGCAGGGCAGGGTGGGTGGTGCTGCCCCGGTGCTGGATGACTTGGGGCCGCACCTGCTGCCTGCGGCCCTGGGGGTGGGCTGGGCTGGGCGGCCCTTGCCCGTGGGGTCCGCCCTGGGGGCTTCTACCTCCCTCCCTCCCTCCCTCCCTCTGGCCTTTCCTGGATGGCTTCCTCCATTGCAGCCCCCCTGTAGCCAGCTGTGCCTGCAAGACCCCTGCCCCGGCCCCTGCTATGGCCTCGCCCCCCCCCCCCCACCCGCGGGCTCCTCTTGTACTCCATGTCCCTTTCCTTCCCGCCGGCTTCTGGGATGTTCTCGAGGGCATGTGCTTTGCACTGCGCCTGCGTCCCCAGGCTGAGGCCCGGAGCTCTGCCGCTGGTGTGCGGGTCCCCGAGGAGGTGTTGGGGCCTCCTCCTCCTTCCAGCGCTGCTCGGCTGCTGTAGGTGGCGGGTTCGTGGTCGTCATGAGTCCCTGCCACAGCGCCTTTGGGCTCTCGCATCTCTCCTTGGGGATGCAATTGTTTGCAAGATACAAAGAAGCCACGTCTCTCCCGCGTCTCATCTCGGATGATGACGTTTGGAAGCTTGATTCCCTTCCCTGGGTGGTCCGTGCTCCTCTGGGACCGTGTTTTGCCTTTTCCCTTCCGTGCCGCGGGTACCCCAATATTTCTGACTATCCTCACAGTAGCTTCTCGGGCATTCGGACTGGGAAGAAGGGTGTGGAGCCCAGCTTGGAAGAGCAGGTCACTGGGGGCCCTGGCTGGGGCTTCCAGCTGCAGGGAGGAGCCGGTGGGGGGCAGTCGCTGGGGGTGGAGCCGAGCGTGGCTCCTAGGCCCCAGGCCCAGGGTCTCCCCCGTCCCTACCGCATGGTCTCCCTGCGTTCCTCCTCACGGCCCGGCTCCCATGTGCCCATGCTCGTCCCCTGCCCCCTCCTCAAGACATGCAATGATGCCCTCAGACCCCGGCCCAGCGCGCACACCCCTCACCTGGCCAGCTTGGCCTCTGCCGTTCAGTTCGGGACACTCCGCGTGTACCCCAGCCTGTTGCCGTGAGTGGGTTTTCCCATCATCTCTTAATTGGCTGACATCATGTCCAGCAACCCTTTCAAGGGGGCGGGTGCTAATCAAACCACTCCGGGTCTCTAACTCATTCAGAAACGCTGGCTGGGCCTTGAAGTCTGGGGTCAGGCCTCCTTTCCACGGTCCCATCTTCTGCTGTGCGTGTGTCCGTGGAGGAGCCCAAGGAAGACTCCCTTCCTCTTCCTCTTCTTAAAAGAAGACGTGGTCTCAGGGATCCCTGGGTGGCCAGCGGTTTAGCACCTGCCTTTGGCCCAGGGTGCGATCCTGGAGTCCTGGGATCGAGTCCCATGTCGGGCTCCCTGCATGGAGCCTGCTTCTCCCTCTGCCTGTGTCTCTGCCTCTCTCTCTCTCTATGTCTATCATAAATAAATACATCTTAAAAAAAAAAAAAAAGAAGACGTGGTCTCTTTCCTTGGCCGCCTCCAAATTTCACCTCTCCGGGGTAAAGACCCGGGTAGCTGTATTAGGGACCGCTGGCAGCCCGCTTTCCATTCTCTTCTTTCTGTCTGTAGTTGAAAGGTTTTGTTTATGTCTGATGAGTTTCCTTTGATCCTTGAGTATTTGTTCTGTTCTACAACCCCGGTTTCCTCCTGCAGCGGTCACAGTCACGCGTGTGGACGGCGGCCTGTACTCGTCGCGGTCCTTCCTGCCTTCCCATGCAATCTCTCCTTGACTGGGTTTCCTGCAGTATTCCCCTCTTCTGTCTTCATTTCCGAGCTGGTGACCGTGGTTTCATTCCCTTTATTTTCAGAGTCTGTGGTTTGCACCCAAGGCACGCAGCCGGACCCGGCGGCGGGGGAGGCTGGGCGGCTGCGAGCCCGGCTGAGAGTGGGGTGCTCCGTTTTTATAGAAGAATAAAGATTGGGAATAACAGGTTCCGGCTCATCTCAGATTAAGTAGGAAAATGACCAAATACTTAGAAGTGATGACAAGGGATCCCTGGGTGGCGCAGCGGTTTGGCGCCTGCCTTTGGCCCAGGGCACGATCCTGGAGACCCAGGATCGAGTCCCACATCGGGCTCCCGGTGCATGGAGCCTGCTTCTCCCTCTGCCTGTGTCTCTGCCTCTCTCTCTCTCTCTCTCTCTCTCTCTCTCCTGCTTCTCCCTCTGCCTGTGTCTCTGCCTCTGTCTCTCTCTCTCTCTCTGTTTGACTATCATAAATAAATAAAAATTAAAAAAAAAAAAGAAGTGATGACAAAAACCAAGCGTGCCAAATTTGTGGACCCTGCCCCAGGCTGTACCTGAAGACAAATTTACATCTTTCAAAACGTTTATCAAAAAAAAAACTGGAAGGATGACAACAGTTAAGCTGAGCATTTAGCTCAAGGAGCTGGAAAAAGGACAGAAGCAAACTGCAAAAAGAACAAGGAGAGGGGCACCTGGGTGGCCCAGTGGTTGAGCATCTGCCTTGGGCCCAGGGCGTGATCCTGGAGACCTGGGATAGAGTCCAACGTCAGGCTCCTGGTGCATGGAGCCTGCTTCTCCCTCTGCCTGTGTCTCTGCCTCTCTCTCTCTCTCCTGGTGCATGGAGCCTGCTTCTCCCTCTGCCTGTGTCTCTGCCTCTTATGAATGAATAAATGAATAAATAAATAAATCTTAAATAAATAAGTTAAAAAAAATAAATCTTTTTTTAAATCTTAAAAAAAAAAGAAAAGTTTCAAGGTTAGAGCAGCCGAAAAGAACGAGCAGAGGGAGAAGCAGCCTGGAGTAGGGCCTGGATCCCAGAACGCGAGGAGCACGGCGCCGGGGCGCTGAGGGGCGTCCCTGAGCACCCGGGCGAGCACTGCCAGCAAAGGGTGTCAGGTGCCGCGGTGACCCGGGTAGCGCTGCTGCAGGCGTGGGAGGTGGTGGCGGCCCGGGAGCCCGCGCACCGACGGCTCGAAGGAGGGGTACCATTTTCTGGCCCTGTCGCCGTGCAGAGGAGCTCACGCACACAGCCCTGGGGATAAAAGGCCGAGCACGAGCTGCTGTCCACCCTTGGCGCCAGAAAGTAAGGAAAAGGAGCAGGGCCGGGAAGTGAAAGGCAAGCCTCCTAACTCGCTGAAACCCCAATGGAGTTAACAGACTCCTCGAATCAACGTGAGTTTGGCGGTATTTCTAGGGACAAAATAAAGACACGATGTTGGCAGATATAAGACCCGCGTGTAAGGCTCCGAGAGGTTTCGCTGATTTGCAGAATGTCTCTGTCCACAGGATGCTTGTCTGCATCTGTGATAATCACCCAGAAAACACAACAGGAACGGGACCTCATTCGTGATCATAAAGACACTATAAACATGTGGGAATTCCTGGTGTCAGGGATCCCTGGCTTCACAGGGGGCTGGGGTCCTGCCCGGAGCTGGGCGGCAGTGGTGTGAGTGGGGAGGCGCGTCCCCATGCCATCCTCTTCCCGGTGGCTGGTGTAGGACAGTGTACACCCGCGACCACCTGCCCACACCGACGTAGGAGGAGTGCTGGGAACCCGCTTGTTCCTACAGGTTCAAAGGAGGGCACTTCCCCTGTTACAGGTGAATCGTGTCGCCCGCAGCCCCACCAAACGCACATGCAGCCGTCCTAAACACCAGCCGTCCAGCACGTGACCCTATCGGGAGCTCAGGTGGGTGCTCATGGTGGGGTGGGTACTGGTGTCCTCAGAAGGGGACACGTGGACGCGGACACACACTCGGTGCCAGTGCCCTGCGATCGCAAAGGCAGAGGTTGGACGGGTCAGTCTACAAGCCCAGGAACGTGGAAATCGCCCGCAAAGCCCCACGGGGCGAGAGGAAAGGGGGTTCCCGCCCACAGTGCAGGGGGAGCCAGCGCTGCCCGCAGAGGCAGATGGAGACAGGATCCTGCGCTGAGCGCGGAGCCAGACTCGGGACTCGATCCCAGGACCCTGACATCATGACCTGAGCTGAAACCGAGAGGCGGATGCTGCGCTGACTGCTCCCACCAGGCGCCCCAAACCGGCCGTGTTTCCGTGCGGCCTGCTTTGCCTGAACACCTAAACGGCCCCACTGTGCTTCCGCTTTGTTCTTTCCAGCCAGTGAGGTACATGGAGGACGTTCATTGGTCCTTAGTTTTGAATTTTGTCTTTCAAGTTGATCATTAAAATGCTGTTGGGTTGTACGCGAGGCCGCGCTCACCCGCGGGGCTGATGGGCCCCAGCATGCCCCGGCTCCTGCCCCCCCCACCCCCCGGCGTGGGGATGCCCACCCCTGAAGGCTCGGTGGTGTGGGGGCCCCCACCACAGACCCCTTGCTGGTTGGGGACCCTTTGCTGAAGGTTGGGGGCACCTTCAAGGCACCCCATGATGGGTCCTTGGAGACCCTGTCGGCCGCACAGCCTGGGGTGACAGGCCAGACGCTGACCGCGGGCCCTGGGTGGCGTGTGTCGCCCTCAGCAGGTGCCTCCGCCCAACAGGAGGGTCAGTCACACAAGCTACATGTCCCGGGGTCAGGCTGGCAGGGTGGGCACGAGGGCCGGGAGGTGGTGACGGCAGGTCACCTGGGAGCCTCTTCGTGGGGACCCTCCCCACCCCCAGGCCCGAGAGGGGCACTCACCTCACGGAGCCCAGGCAGCTGCCGTTCAGCTTCAGCTGGCTGAGCTTGGGCAGGTGCTTCCCTGTGGGCCACAGGCGGGTGGCAAGGCCTTACTCCCCTCCCTTCCCTGCGCCCCCCGGGGCATCGGTGGCCCTTGCCTCTGTGCTCCGTGGCTGTTGGAGCCCCAGCGGCGGCGGTTGGCCTGGAGCGGAGCAGGCCCACCGGGAGGCGTGCAAAAGGTGCGCCTCAGCCCACCGAGCCCCTGGAGGGGCGGGGGAGAGGCCCCCGGGCTCTGGGAGTTGGCTTGGAGGAGGGGAGCCCCGCCGGCCAGGGGGCCCTACAGCTCGGGTCCTGCGCAGGCACTGCAGACCACATCCCCCATCAGCTTGCGGCACTGGTGCCAGAGCACAGGAGCCCCTTGTCCCTGTGCAACCCCAAATCCCTGGCAAAGGCTTCTGAGCTAGACTCCTGTGAAGAACAGGGCACTGACCCTGCGGGACAGTCCTGATCCCTGGAAAGAGTGGTGCAGGGGGGCCTGTGGGCCCAGGGCATGCCTGCAGAGGGTGTAGGATGGGCCTGTTGGATGCAGGGCAGACCTGCAGGGTGCAGGGCAGTCTCATGGGGTGTAGGGCATGCCTGTAGGGTGTAGGACGGGCCTGTTGGGTGCAGGGCAGACCTGCAGGATGCAAGGCAGTCTCATGGGGTGTAGGGTGTACCTGTGGGGTGTAGGATGGGCCTGTGGGGTGCAGGGCAGGCTTTTGGGGTGTAGGATGGGCCTGTGGGGTACAGGGCAGGCTCGTGGGTATAGGGCATGCCCGTGGGGGGTAGGATGGGCCTGTGGGGTGCAAGACAGGCTCGTGGGGTGTAGGATGGGACTTTGGGGTGCAGGACAGGTTCGTAGGGTATAGGGCATGCCTGTGGGGTGTAGGATGGGCCTGTGGGGTGCAGGACAGGCTCGTGGGGTGCAGAGCGTGCCTCTGGGGTGGAGGGCAGGCTCGTGGGGTGCAAGGCGTGCCTGTGGGGTGCAGGGCAGGCCCATGGAGGGCAGTGGTCCAAAGACCAGAGCCTCCCTGGCAGCATTCAAGTGGACAGGCCCTCCCACAGAAGTCTGAACTCGCCAGTGGCAGGGTGTGGACAGGGAGGGGCTCTCACCAAAGTTCCCCAGGCTGTTCTCACGGGTGTTGACACACATCTCCAGCATGTTCACCAGTCCAAGGTCATCTACCTGGGCCAGGGCCCGCTGCAGAAATCGATGAGGACTCAGCCCTGGAACCGGACAGTGGTCACTCCCTCCCAGGGACGCCTCTGCCTCCGGCTGTGGGGCTGCCCAGATGCTGTTCCAACAGGTCCCACAACAAAACAACTCAACGGTGGAACGGTGGGTTTAGCACCGGGTTGGGGGGACGTGAGGGCTGCTTACTCCTGCAGTGCCCCCGTTGGGCCCTGCACCCCTCCCCCATGAATGAACACAAAATGAAAAGGAAACGAAACACAGAGACGCACGTGAACACCGGGAATGTCCGTGGCTACCGCAGCTCCTGGTGTGTGGAGCCACTGGCTGGGTGGCAAGGCTGGGTCCACCTCCAGGTCCAGCCAGGGTGTGGTGGGGCTCACTGCCCTCCTGGCGCCCTGCCCCTGGCCCTCCCCACGTGGCCAGGCTGGACCCTCCCTGTCCCGCTGTCCCCGGCAGGGAGTGCTGTCCCCAGTCCGCTCCATGCACAGGTGGGCCAGTGCCCCGGGTGCCTTCTCAGAGTCAGGCTGTTGTCACTGCAGCCTGGTCTCCCTGTGGCCCCAGGACGGTCCAAGACGGGAGCATCCCCCAAGTTCTGGGCATGCTGGCCCTCCCATGAGCCCATCCGGGCTGTCTGAACCGAGGCCTCACATGTGCAGGGGACACAGGACCCCAGGGCAGGTGGGACAGAGGTGGCCTGTAGCCGTGAACCTGTGCCCTGGGGAGGCATCCCGTTGGGGTCCGCGCTGGCCCAAGACAGCGGGGAGCCCTGGGCCTGCAGGCCCACGGGAGGGCCGCCCGCACGGGAGCCAGCTTGCATTGTGGGGCGGGGGCCGGGCCCGAGTTGCTTCCACCTTCACTGATGAGGCCGTGCGGAGGCTTCCGAGAGCCGTCGGGGGGTGGGGCAGAGACCCCGGGCAGCCAGGCTTCCCTCCGCATGTGGGGGGGGCTGTACCCGGGGAGCCCCTTAGCGTGGCCCCCACTGCATGAGGCGCCGACTTGCCCGGAGAGGTTGTGGGTGGGAACCGGGAGTCACGAGGCTCCACGTGTCCTGGTGGCCCCAGGGTGGGAGCGGGGGCTTTGGGAGAAAACCCCACCAGCTGCCCCCGTCAGCGAGCAGGACCTTGCGGTGGAGCCCACTTACGCAGCCTGCGCTGGGTGCAGGGCGCCCTACTTAGCCCGCGGTTTCAGGGAGCCCTGGCAGCTCGCACCTGCTGTGCGCCCCGCACCTGGACAGTCTGCTGCGCGGCCTCCCCCCAGAGCAGCAGCTGCTCCAACTAGGGGCTTCCCTGGCTCCTGGAGCGGTTCGCGGAGCGGCCACTGACGCCTGGCCCACGGGTGCACTGGGCGATGCCTGCCGGCCTCCCTGCCTCCTGTCCCCGATGCCTGGGGCGGCCCTGAGGATGGTGCAGGGCTGAGAGCGTCCATCCAGGCCAGAGGGCTGGCTGGACATCGGGCCTGGAACGGTGGTGCCCCATGCAGACCCCTGCAGCCTGAGCCCCGGCCCCCCAGCGCTCACCAGTCGGGCAGGTGACAGGTACTCCTGTACCAGCCGCTCGCCATGGCTGTCCCTACGGCTGCCTGGGTCCTTGCTCTGTGGCCGGGGGTTGTATGGTCCTTGCCAGCCCAGCTCCCGCACTTGGACAGTGGCTGTGCTAGGCCACAGCCCATGGGCTCTGTCGCAGGACTGGTCCATTCACACACAACCTGCTGGGAGAGGCCGAGGGCAGAGCTATGAAGCCTCGGCTCTTGCTCGCACCCACAGCCTGGCGGGGACCCCGCACGGCAAGCCCGTGGGGCTCCTCCTGCCCGGCTCCGATGGGCTCTCGGCCTCTTAGTCTCAGCCTGCCCGCGGGCTCGGGGGCACCCCATCCTCCAAGGTCCGCAGCGGGGGTGCTGGGCCCAGGCTCCCCTCTCGGAGGTCCTGCCTAGGCTGTGGGCCTGAGGGGGCCACTTGGCCCCAGGTCACGTTTACTCCATCAGCCGCGGCCAGCCGCAAGCCACTGACTCAGGCCCTGTGTGTGTGTCTCCACACCTGGGGGCCCGGGACCAGGCTCCCAAGCACCCCACCCCTCCGCCCACTGAGCCCCCTCACCTGGAGGCACTGCCTCTTCCCACCATGGGTCAAACATCCAGGCACGGAGGCAGCATGTGTCTCCAGGTGGCACCTGCAGGAGGGAGTTGGGGTGGCCTCCTGGCCAGGTCGCTGTGCCCAGGGGACTTGGGACAGGCAGGGAGGAGGACACAGGGCAGAAGTGGGCAGGTGTGGAGGTGCTTGGGGCTGTCAGTGTAGGCACCGGCCCTCAGGTCCTTTGGATCATCCTGATGGGGCACCTGGATGGGTTGATGAGGAAGACAGTCGGGTGGTGACTGACCATCCTCTCTGCAAAAGGGGTCCCGGGTCTGCCTCTCTGGACTCTCATGGGCTGGCCACCTGGCACCCTGTCCTTCCCAAGCCCCCTCACCCCCAGGCTCCACAGGAGCCCGTGTCCCTGGACACCTGCGCCAGGCTCACCTGGTACTGCTCCTTAAAGATGCAGATGCCTGGCCTGACCCCGGATCCCAGAATCATGTCCAGGGGTAGAGCCAGAAGTCCGCCTGGAATGTTCTGGGAACCCCCAGTGTGGGTTGAGGCCTCATTGACCCCTGCCCAGTATCCCCTCCTGCCCTTCCTGGATTGACTTTCCGTCTAAGTCTGACTCCTTCTGGGGTTCTCTGTGTTTTACGACGCGTTCCACTGAGTGAGCCCCAGGCTGCGGGGCCCGGGCAGGCAGGATGCTCACTTCCTGCGCCCGCAACGCACGGGAGAGAGACTCCCCTGATTCTCAGAAGGGATAGTGTGGCGCGTGCACACGCCAGTGCTGCTCTCATCTCTTGGGCCCTGCAGACACTCAAGCCGCACCCTCTCCATCGTGCCTGGGCTGGGGGGGTGGCCAGCTAGGCCTTGACAGAGGCGCTGGAGGGGTGCTGCGCGGGCTCTGTGTGCCTCAGTGGCCTCACCTGGAAGGTGACCCATACACCGGGGGTCCAAGGAGATGAAGGCCATGCAGGTGAGCCCCACCATACAGACTCATCGGGTCTCCAGCCAGGATTTCTTTCCAGAAGCTTCCTCTGCCATCTACCTTTCTTCAGTGGGCGAAAAGCCCCAGGCCTGGCTGGGGACCTCAGCACGTGCCTCCTGGGACTACGCTGCTCGCTCCCATCCCAGGCCTGCCAGCCTTGGGGTGTGGGGAGTGCAGGGGCCGGTCCGGCTGCAGCCCCAGGATGCCCGTGGGCAGCATGAAGGGCCAAGCCCACCACGCTTTCCTTCTGTGCTTCACAGCAGCCGCCCAGCGGTCCTACCCCGGACTGGGCCCAGCGGACGGTCCTGTCCGGCCCCAAAAGTCTCAGGTCCAAGGGGCAGGGCCTGGGTCGCTGGCTGCAGCTCACATGTGTAGTGTCCCCTCACGTGCATGCACTGGCTGGACCTGTCCGTGCTGCGCGGGGCCCTGTGGCCACCCTGCCTGCCACTCTCTGCCTCCACGGCCCAGGCTAATGCCAGCCCTTGGCCTGGCTCAGCAGCAATCTGGGTTCACTCCACGCCTCCCCCCTTCGCCGCAGAGGGAGGGGCGCTGCGGGCAGGGCCTAGTCTCTCCTAGGTCCTCACTAAGGGAGTCTGGGTCCCCACCTCCCCCTCTCCTGCAGGGGCAGAGCCTGGGGTCCCTCCTACCCTGGGGCCTGGGAACTCTTCGGAGCACGGCTACCGGTCGTGGGCTGAGCCCCTGGAGACCAGATTGGACATCTGGGGGTACCGCTGAGCCCCCACTGGCTTTGCTGCTTCATCCTGGGGCAGCCCTCGGCCTCAGTTTCCCCCCAGGCACGGGGGAGGTGCAGCGAGGCCTGAGGCCCCAGGCCCAAAGGTGTGCTGGGCTCTCACCAAAGGGGTCGGTCTCGGTGCCACGGGCCGGGCGCCCTCCGCCGCGGGGCGCGCCTTCCGACTCGGGGTCCTTCTTCCGGTGGCAGGGTTGCGGCCCTGGGCGCCATGGCAACGGGGCTGGGGCATCATTTGAATGCTCAAATATTCATGAGGCCGCGGGACTCTCCGAGGCTCCGCGGTCGAGCCACGCCCCTTAGCAACGGCTGCTAGGGCAGGCCGGGGGCGGGGCGGCCGCGGGCGCGTTCGGGGCCCGGAGGGTAGGGCCCCAAGTCCTGGGCGCCCGTGGGCTGGGAGGGAGCCGGGGCGGAGGTGAGGCCCCACCGGGCGGGGGGACCTGCGCGGACCGGCCGGGTGTCAGCGCCCGCGAAGGCGGTTATCAGGCGGAGCCCAGCGCCCACCTTTCCCGGCCCTGGCCCTGCGGGAGGGACGCCCTCGTCCAAGGGTGGCGATGCCAAAACAAAAGGAAAGCGCCCCCGATGACGAGGGAAATGCAGACCTGGACACTGGGAGGGGTTTGGGGTGTCTGCGCTCTCGGGGGACGCCGCCACTCGCTTTCACTGCCGCTCCTTGACTCCGCGTCTGTGCGCGTCAGCGCGCGTCGGGCTCTGTCCTAGCCACCGCGCAGTGCACTGGCCGGCCAACCGGCCACGGCCTCGGCACGTGCTGTCGGCGATGTGTGCGGGCGGGGCAGCCCCCGGAGGGGCCCGCCAAGGTCACGGCCTGCAGTGGGGGGGGCTCCACGAGAACAGCGCGCGCCAGCACCGGAGGGGGCAGGACGGGAGGGGCGAGGCTGGGCCTCCTGCGGGCTGCACCGTTCTTCCTTTTTGTAAACAAGCACGGTGTGTTGATGCACTACTTTGAAATTAAAAAAAAAATGTCGAAACCACGTCTTTTTTGAAAGTCTGGAAAGGATGCGGGGTGTGCGTGTTCGCGCTCGGGATGGGGGAGCCGTCGGCACGCTGCCCTCGGGCAGCTTTCGGGCTGGTTTCCCGAGGGCCCGTCGTTAACTGGGCCCCGCGCAAGCGTCTGCAGGGCCGGAGCCTCCGGGCTGGGGGGCTGGGCGGGCCGGCCTGCAGGGGGAGGCTGGGGAGAGGGGCGCGGCTGCGGCCCAGCGAGACCCCTGGGGAGGGATCAAACGATGCTCCGCGCCGCGCTGCCCCCTGTGGTCTGGGCGCCCCGGGTGCCGCGCGCACGACGAAGCCAAGGTGCCAGGCGCCCGTTCCGGAGCCACCTGATGGGAACGGGGGTGTAGGGCACCGAGTCCCGGCCATGGGGCCCCAGAGCTCGGGGCGCGGCCCGACCTGCCCCGGCACCCGCCTCCTGTCCCGGCCGCCCGCCCGCCGCCGCGCCGACCCTGACCCTCCCCGAGCCTCGTCTCCCGGCCTGACCCCTCCGCTGGGCCTCGCGGCGCAGGGAGCCCCCCCCGCGGGACACGGGCTCCCGCCGGCCCGCAACGCCCCCGCCCCGGTGCACCGCCTCCCGCGGTCCTGTCGGGCAGCTCCCCGCGGAGGCCGCCGCCCCGGCCCGCGCCCCTCGCGCCCCCGCGGAGCGCCCGCGGGCGCAGCCCAGCCCCCCAGGCCGCGGCCCACGAGGGCCTCCGGGGCCGGGCACCGCCCTCCGCGCCGCTTCCCGGAAGCCCCGCCCGGCCGCGGCCCGTGACGGGCGGGCGGGCCGGCCAACCGGCGAGGGGCGGGGCCGGCCGGGGCGGGCCGGGGGCGGGGCCCGGCGCCCGCGGCCAATGGCGAGCCGCGCCTGCGTGACGGACGGGCGCGGGGCGGGGCGTGAGCGCCCTCCCCCCGAGTGTCCGCCCGCCCGCCCGCGCCTGCCGCCCGCAGCCCGAGCCGCACCCTCCGCGGACGGAGCCCATGCGCTGGGCGAGCCGCGCGCCCCGGCCCCGGCCCCCTTCCCCGCCCCCGCCCCGGCCCCGGCCCCGGGGGCAGTCGCGCCAGTGAGCGGTGAGTGCGGCGGGGGCGGCGGGGCGGGGCGGGGGCGGCCGGGGCTGCGGCGCGGGGCGGTGGAGGCGGCGGCGGCGGCGGCGGCGGGGCGCGCGGGGGCGCAGGTGAGCCGCGGGCGGCGGGCGGGCGCTGCGGCGGGTGCGGGGTGCGGGGGCGCCCCCGGCGGCGGCGTCCGCGCCCTCCCCTCCGCGGGCCGCGTGCGGGCCCCCCAGGTGGTCAGAGGCGCGCCCCCGAGGCCCGGGCAGCGGGCGAGCCGGGCGTTCGGACCGGAGCCCCGGGCACCGCGTCCCGAAACCTCCCAGACCGGGAGCTGGGTCGGATGCCGCGGCCCAGCGCCGTCCCCGCGCCTACCCCGCCGGCCTGCTCCCGGGCCCGCCGTCCCCGCAGCCCACCGCTGCTCTCCTGCGACGCTCGAGCGGCCGCGGGCCTGGGGCTCCCCCCGGGACAGGAGGGCCCGGGCCTCGCCCCCGGAGCAGCAGCTGGCGGCCGCGGGCGCTCCGCAGATGCTAGTCCGGTGCAGCGAGGCGCGGCGGGGCTCTGGCCTGCCCGGGCACGCTGCTGCGCTCCGCTGTGGCAGGACCTGTTCCTGCGGGGAGGGGCGGTAATCTCAGCCTGCAGGGCCTCCGGGTCCCTCCAGTGCACGCTTTCTGCCTACCCAGCAACTTCTAATTTGGGTGCGTGGTTGGGAGATGCTCTCAGCTGTCAGCTCTCCCTTTGGGGGGCCGGCTCCCTGCTCTCCCGCAGCCATGAGCGCCGGCGAGGTGGGGGCTCTCCCACCCCCCCGGCTGTAGGTGCCACAGGTGGGCGGCTGCCGCCCGGTTCCCTGGTTGTGCGGGGCCTGGGGACCGGGACCGGGCTGGGGCCGGGCGGTTTGCCCCGCGGGGGCTGGCTCAGGGCTGAGAGCAGCTTCCTCAGCAGGTGGGACAGGAGACCTCTTCGGCGTCCTGTGCTGCATCTCGTGAGGAACCATGACGGAGTATAAGCTGGTGGTAGTGGGCGCTGGAGGCGTGGGCAAGAGCGCCCTGACCATCCAGCTCATCCAGAACCACTTCGTGGATGAGTACGACCCCACCATCGAGGTGAGCACACCCAGCCCTGAGCCTGCTGTGGGCTCCACAGGAGGGCGGCCCCTGCTCGTGGGACCTGGGGGTGGCACCTGGGGACCTAGAAGGGGCTGGTGGCTGGGTGGCCCCGTCCTCCGAGGCGTGGGGCGGGGCGTCCTGAAGCACTGGCGTGCCGCAGGACTCCTATCGGAAGCAAGTGGTCATCGACGGGGAGACGTGCCTGCTGGACATCCTGGACACGGCGGGCCAGGAGGAGTACAGCGCCATGCGGGACCAGTACATGCGCACAGGGGAGGGCTTCCTCTGTGTGTTTGCCATCAACAACACCAAGTCCTTTGAGGACATCCACCAGTACAGGTGAGCCTCCGGCCGGCCCTCGGGGCCACCTGTCCCTCTGCCTCTCCTCGTGTTTCTTTGTCAGGGTCTCGGATGCAGCCGTGCCTGCAGCCTACCGACCGGCTCCCACCTTCCTCCTTGTAGGGAGCAGATCAAGCGAGTGAAGGACTCCGACGACGTGCCCATGGTGCTGGTGGGGAACAAGTGTGACCTGGCTGCTCGCACCGTGGAGTCCCGGCAGGCGCAGGACCTCGCCCGCAGCTACGGCATCCCCTACATCGAGACGTCAGCCAAGACACGCCAGGTGAGCCGGCTCCCCACCCCGCAGCTTGTTGGGGACCCGCCCCGCCCCGCCCCTGCCAGGGAGCAGTGCTTATTGCCCCCTCTCCCCCAACACAGGGCAGCCGGTCTGGCTCTGGCTCCAGCTCCGGGACCCTCTGGGACCCTCCGGGACCCCCGGGACCCAGCGGCCCCTAGCGCTGTAAGTGTCCCCGGACGGCAGGGCAGCGAGGGAGGCCGGCGCCCAGGGTTTGGGCTGACACAGCTCCAGGGAGAGGCAGAGGTCCCCAGAGAGCTGCCCTGAGCCAGGCCGAGTGGTGACCTTGGGGCCCTGGCCCCCTGCCCGCAGAAAGCCCCATGGGCCTGTGCGGGCCCTGCCCTCTTAACGGGCTGTGGGGGACCAGGGTGGTAGGTAAGACAGGAGTGGGACCCTGGATATTAGAGCTGGGAGCCAGACCTCGGGGCTGCCCTGTGGGGGAGCTCCTGAGGGCCAAGCCGCCTGATGGGGGGAGCCCTGGGCTGCCTGTGTGGGGGCGGGGTGGGGAGGCGCTGGGGAGGGGCTGGGATGATGCATGAGCTTGATGCTGGGGTCCCTCGGTCCCCTGCGCTGCCAGGCTTCCGGGCTGAGCCGCACGCTCACCCAGCCCCGTCTTCCCAGGGCGTGGAGGATGCCTTCTACACGCTGGTGCGAGAGATTCGACAGCACAAGGTGCGCAAGCTGAGCCCGCCCGACGAGGGAGGCCCAGGCTGCATGAGCTGCAAGTGCCTGCTGTCCTGATGTCCCCTCCAGGGCCACGCTGGCAGCCCCGCTGGCCCTCTGTGCCCCAGGCGCACAGGTTTGGGGCGAGGAGGTGCCGGAAGCCGGGAGGAGGCGCGGACGGAGGAAGGAGGAAGGCGAGGAAGGAAGGAAGCGCCCCCGGGGCCCGGCCAGCCCAGGCCCCCTGGACAGGGGGAGCACGGACCTCCCAGGGCGCTTTGCACAGACTGTCGTGAACTGAGGCCATGGGCACCCCCCCAGCTGTCACTCTTCCCCAGCCCCGTCCTGGCCCGCGGGGCACAGGCTGAGTCGCAGTAAATTATTTGATGGTCTTGACCCTGGCGTCTGGCCGCCCCTGCAAGGCACGTGGGGATGTCAGCTGTGTGTGCCTGGCGGCACCCCTGCAGGGGCTGGTCGGGGCCGGGTGGTCCCCCCTCCTCCTCTCTGGGCGTGTCTCCGCACCCCGTGCACAGAGCCCCGGGAGATGCAGAAACGAGCCGGCCGTGCATTTTCACACAACAACACTTTATTGAACTTGCAACAGCAAACGGGCTCAGAGCCGAGGGTGCGCGCCCTCCCCTGGGAGACCTTCCTGTCCTTAGAGGAAAGCGGGAATCCCACGGGGGTGAGGGTGCTGGTGCTGGAGTCGCCCACCTGGGAGCCTGTGTGGACTCCGGGTGGGGGCGTGTGTCCTGAGGTTGGGGCGTTGAGAGGCTTTTCTGGGGACAGCAGGGCTGGCCTGGACCTGCAGCCCATGGGCTCCTGCGCTAGGTCCCCACAGGGCAGCTGGATCCTGGCCTCGGGCCCCCTGGGGCTGGGTGACTGACTGCTGGAGCCCCAGCACGTGGAGGAGCCTGCCTCCTGGTGTGGGTGCGGGTGGGGCCCACGGGCCTGCTCCGCTGCCCTGCCCTGGGGTGTCCCGGGATCCCCAGGGCTGTCCTAGGTCAGCGACCTGAATCTGTGGGGCATGTCCAGGGTCCAGGAGGCCACATCCGGCTGTGAGAGGGCTCTCTCAGCGTGGGGCCAGAACGCAGGCCTGGCCAGGGCCCCAGGGCGCTGGATCCCATTCGTGCTGGGCCTGGGGGGGGGGGGGCTTGAGTCTCCCCTGCCCCCACAGAGCCCGGGGCCAGGCCAGCCCAGGTCCCTCTGGGTCAGGGGCTGGTGTGCTGTGCTGGGGGGGGGGGGGTGCCGCCCTCCGGGAGGGACAGTGAGACGAGGCAGGGCACGGTGACGGGCCAGAGCCTCCGGGCCCCCGCACTCACCACCACGCTCTGCCCCCGAGGCCTACGAACATCGAGCTGCACCGTGGACGTGGAGGGCAGAGGGTCCCGGGCCTGTGCGGGCCTCGGGGCAGCGGGCTCAGCGCCGCCCTGGCTCTGCCCTGGCTGTGCCCGTCACTGCCCAGCGAGGGGCACAAGCTGCAGTGGCCGCGGGGCAGGAAGAGTGTCCTGGGCCTGACAGCGTCGTCCCTAAGGGGCTGGGGGGACCCCGTGATGGGAGTCCCGGGGGTGCTCCAGGGCCTGGTCCATCGCGGGGCCCCTGGGGTGGCCCAGACAGGTGCCGAAGGGAAGGGGACGCCGTTTTTTGTCTCGAAGCCCACCATGTCCGGGGGCCGCCTGCCTGCACCATCTTGTTGCAATGGGAGGGTGGGGAGGGAGTTCCATCGCTGAGGGGGAAGTTGGATGATGGCCTGGCCGGGAGGGGGTCCGGGTGGCTCAGGCTGGGTGGCTGGGCCCAGGGAGGCCGGCTCCTCCACCCTGGGCGGTGGCTCAAGAGTCCAGAGAAGGGAGGAGAGGCCTGGGCACCGGGGACACTCGCTCCAGGCCCAGGGGCCTCATGGGGAACTCCTCAGGTCCCGCTGGAAAGAGGCCAACGGGGTCAGCGTCTCCAGCAGGTTGTGTGTCCCCCGCTGGGGGTCCTCACGGCTCCCACGTGGCCTCCCGGCCTAACCCTGTGCT